ATGGAGATCATATCCCCCCTTATGTATTATACATGGAGATCATATCCCCCCTTATGTATTATACATGGAGATCATATCCCCCCTTATGTATTATACATGGAGATCATACCCCCCCCTTATGTATTATACATGGAGATCATATCCCCCCCTTATGTATTATACATGGAGATCATATCCCCCCTTATGTATTATACATGGAGATCATAACCCCCCCCCTTATGTATTATACATGAGATCATATCCCCCTTATGTATTATACATGGAGATCATACCCTTATGTATTATACATGGAGATCATATCCCCCTTATGTATTATACATGGAGATCATATCCCCCTTATGTATTATACATGGTGATCATATCCCCTTATGTATTATACATGGAGATCATAATCCCCCCTTATGTATTATACATGGAGATCATATCCCCCCCTTATGTATTATACATGGAGATCATATCCCCCCTTATGTATTATACATGGAGATCATATCCCCCCCTTATGTATTATACATGGAGATCATATCCCCCCTTATGTATTATACATGGAGATCATATCCCCCCTTATGTATTATACATGGAGATCATATCCCCCCTTATGTATTATACATGGAGATCATATCCCCCCTTATGTATTATACATGGAGATCATATCCCCTTATGTAATTATACATGGAGATCATATCCCCCCTTATGTATTATACATGGAGATCATATCCCCCCTTATGTATTATACATGGAGATCATATCCCCCTTTATGTATTATACATGGAGATCATATCCCCCCCTTATGTATTATACATGGAGATCATATCCCCCTTATGTATTATACATGGAGATCATATCCCCCCTTATGTATTATACATGGAGATCATATCCCCCTTATGTATTATACATGGAGATCATATCCCCCCTTATGTATTATACATGGAGATCATATCCCCCCTTATGTATTATACATGGAGATCATATCCCCCTTATGTATTATACATGGAGATCATATCCCCCCTTATGTATTATACATGGAGAATCATATCCCCCCTTATGTATTATACATGGTGATCATATCCCCCCCTTATGTATTATACATGGAATCATATCCCCCTTATGTATTATACATGGTGATCATATCCCCCCTTATGTATTATACACGGAGATCATATCCCCCCTTATGTATTACATGGAGATCATATCCCCCTATACATGAAGATATCCCCCCTTATGTCATACATGGAGATCATATCCCCCTTATGTATTATACATGGATCATATCCCCCCCTTATGTATTATACATGGAGATCATATCCCCCCTTATGTATTATACATGGTCATCATATCCCCCTTATGTATTATACATGGAGATCATATCCCCCTTATGTATTATACATGGAGATCATATCCCTCCTTATGTATTATACATGGAGATCATATCCCCCTTATGTATTATACATGGTGATCATATCCCCCTTATGTATTATACATGGAGATCATATCCCCCCTTATGTATTATACATGGAGATCATATCCCCCTTATGTATTATACATGGAGATCATATCCCCCCTTATGTATTATACATGGAGATCATATCCCCCCTTATTATTATGGTGATCATATCCCCCCTTATGTATTATACATGGAGATCATACCCCTCCCTTTATGTATTATACATGGAGATCATATCCCCCCTTATGTATTATACATGGAGATCATACCCCTCCCTTTATGTATTATACATGGAGATCATATCCCCCTTATGTATTATACATGGGAGATCATATCCCCCCTTATGTATTATACATGGAGATCATACCCCCCCCCTTATGTATTATACATGGAGATCATATCCCCCTTATGTATTATACATTATCCCCCCTTATGTATTATACATGGTGATCATATCCCCCCCTTATGTATTATACATGGAGATCATATCCCCCCTTATCTATTATACATGGTGATCTTTATCCCCCCTTATGTATTATACATGGAGATCATATCCCCCTTATGTATTATACATGGTGATCATATCCCCCCTTGTGTATTATACATGGAGATCATATCCCCCCTTATGTATTATACATGGAGATCATATCCCCCCTTATGTATTATACATGGAGATCATATCCCCCTTATGTATTATACATGGAGATCATATCCCCCTTATGTATAATACATGGAGATCATATCCCCCTTATGTATTATACATGGAGATCATATCCCCCTTATGTATTATACATGGAGATCATATCCCCCCTTATTATTATACATGGAGATCATATCCCCATTATGTATTATACACGGAGATCATATCCCCCCTTATGTATTATACATGGAGATCATACCCCCTCCCCCTTATGTATTATACATGGAGATCATATCCCCCCCTTATGTATTATACATGGAGATCATATCCCCCCTTATGTATTATACATGGTGATCATATCCCCCCTATATGTATTATACATGGAGATCATATCCCCCCTTAATCTCCTCTTCTCAAGAGAGAATAAATTCAGTTCCTCTAATCTTTCCTCATAGCTGATCTCCTCCATGCCTCGTATCAGTTTGGTTGCCCTTCTCTGTACTTTCTCCAGTCCCCCAATGTTCTTTTTGTGAATTGGTGCCCAAAACTGAACTGCATATTCCAGATGAGGTCTTACTAATGATTTGTACCGGGGAATGATATCTCTCTCTCTGGAGTCTATACCTCTTTTAATACAAGAGAGGATTTTGCTCGCTTTAGAAGCCGCAGCAGCTTGGCATTGCATTCCATTATTAAGCTTGTGATCTACCAGTACCCCCAGATCCTTCTCCACCATTGATCCCCCCAGTTGTACCCCCCCCCAGTATGTATGATGCATGCATATTCTTAGCCCCCAAGTGCAGAACCTTACATTTATCAACATTAAACCTCATTTCCCACATAGTCCCCCAATTACACAGAGCATTGAGGTCGGCTTGTAAGTTGGAGACCTCCTGTAAGGACGTTATTCCCCGCACAGCAGTTGTATTAAGGTTATTTCTGTATGTCATATAAGGAAGGAACGCAGAACACTATTTTTATTCATTTATTAACCTCTGCAGGAACCCATACGCCCTTGACTACAGTCTGTTCTGCAGGCCCTCCATTTGGTACAGCAGTAATATTGTCCACCTCATTATTACCTAAAGAAGTTTTGTTCAGGATCGCTATTAGCCTCTTGGCCCAACTATCCCAATCAATTATGCTCCAACCGTTGGTGCTCCACAGCAACCCACCATCTGACAAGGAGACACAGATGGACCAAGGGGGTCAACAGCATCAGACACATTGCACCTCTCAATTTTAACATCACATTTCAGTGCCACATGTTTAGACATAGCTGGTTGCAATACCATATATTCTCACCACTGTGTACTGGAGGCACTTTACTCTCAACATAGGACTTTGCATTTTCAGCTTTATCAAGCTGTATTAACCCATTATCACCATCAGTCTTTTTATCATGAGCATTCCATAATATGTTTACACCAGTGTCTTTAGCTCTTGCATCCCCTTTTTAGACAATGTAGAGGGGCAAGTTTCTTTCACAATGATATTCATTGGGTCTCCCAACTGAAGTCATTCCCACATCATAACAGACAGTCTCACAGTCAGTCTTAGCATTTTTCTGTAGCACAGATGGCCTAGCCAAATGGCTAGGTCTCACCATCTTTGGCTTATACTGGTCCCCTTCACTGCATCTTGCCATTTCACCCAGGTAGCCACACAGTGATACATCAGGCTTCCTGTGATCTCTGGCACCCCCTAAATGCCCAACAGGCCTTTTCTTTCTGCCATCCAGGTCAACAGCATACCTATTTAGGGCAGGTAATGCTAGACCTCTACGTGGTGCACCATCCAGAGCCATGGAACATTAGCAACATCTGACTCCCACTCACGGCCACAGCTTTGGTCTCCAATGGAGGTATTTTCTCCGGTTGCTTAGAGAGACAACACTCATTTACCAGAGACTTGTTGGTGCTCCTAATCAGAACTGATTGCCTCTCCAGACTGAATTGCTGCTTTGAACCTGTCATAGTCATCTCAGCCACGGCCCATCAAATGGTAGACTTCCTGGAACGTCACTGGTAGAAAGGGCTGTAATAATTCAGACCAGCGGTCTCTGGGCCAAACGTCTTCAACATCATCTGTAGGCCACATAAAGTATGTATAGTCTGCTGCTCTGATTTCACCCTCGTTTTCACAGCAAAAGCACTCATCCCCTGAGTCAGGACAACCACCAACTCTCTCACTGCCCCGAGTGATGGTTTCCTTCCTCTTTAGTTGGGTTTAATACTACCAGATGTTACTTGCACCAGTTCAGAGTTGATTCAAACACTGCAAAACTTTCTGGGCTGTGTTGGGGTTGTTTGGGAGGTAAGATTTCCTCCAGCCATAGCGCTTTTTTTTTACTTATATCCCCAAGGATTGCATCCTTCTTGCACTTTGGCTGCCCCATCCTTGCAGTCACACACGCAACGTTTTTACAGTTTCTTTGCACCGTTCAAAAATTTTTTGGAGCACCATCTCTTTAACCCCTCACCTACCGGGCACTTATACCCCCTTCCTGCCTGCAGGGCACTTATACCCCCTTCCTGCCCAGACCAATTTCCAGCTTACAGCGCTGTCGCACTTTGAATGACAATTGCGCAGTCATGCAACACTGGACCCGTATGAAATTTTTATCATTTTTTTGTGACAGATAGACCTTTTTTTTAGTGGTATTTAATCACCTCTGGGATTTTGATTTTTTGCTAAAAACAAACCAAAAACCACTGAAAATTTAAAAAAAAAAAAAGTTTTTTTCTTAGTTTTTGTTATATATAAAATGATAGGCTGCACTGATGGATACTGATAGGTGGCACTGATGGGCACTGATGAGGAGGCACTGGTAGGTGGCACTGATGGGCATTGAGAGGCATCACTGATGGGCACTGAAAGGCAGCACTGATACATGGCACTGATAGGCAGCACTGATAGTGCCAGTAAGTGCCGCTAACAGTGCCGCCTATCAGTGCCATATATGAGTACTGCCTTTCAGTGCCCATCAGTGATGCCTGTCAATGCCCATCAGTGCCACCTACCAGTGCCTCCTCATCAGTGCCCATCAGAGCCACCTATCAGTGTCCATCAGTGCAGCCTATCAGTGCCCATCACTGCAGCCTCATTAGCGCACATCAGTGAAGGAGAAAAATCACTTATTTACAAAATTTTAAAACAGAAACTAAGAAAAAAATTTCAGTTGTTTTTGGTTTGTTTAGCAAAAATAAAAACCCAGAGGTGATTAAATACCACCAAGAGAAAGCTTTATCTGTCTCAAAAAAAAAATGATAAAAAAATTTCATATGGCTACAGTGTTGCATGACCGCGCAATTTTCATTCAAAGTGCAACAGCGCTGAAAGCTGAAAATTGGCCTGGGCAGGAAGGGGGTATAAGTGCCCGGTAGGCGAGGGGTTAAAGGCTGCAATACACCATGCACATTTCCTTTGCAGGCACACTACTTGCTGCATACACTGCAGAGCAAAAACAGTTCCTGGCAAACTCTCTGTTCTGGCGTGTGAGGATTCAGAACTCCACCATTTTGCCCGTATCTGAGCACCAATTTGTGATAGCTTTCTCTCAATAATAATGATTCCCAGTGAGTTCAGTCCACTCCAGATGTGCTTTTTAAGGGCTTGGTGGCCCAAATTTATAGTAAAATGAGAAAAGTTCATACAGAGAAAGAGACATGTGTGACTTGTTTCGTTACAGACAAAAGTTTCGTTATTTGAAGATACGGATGTATCGGACGATATCAACGAATCTTAACCAATCCAAAATAAATTATAATGAAATTAATTATCCGAATTCGAAGTTGAAAGTGAATTCAAATTCAAAAATGAATTTGAACTCGAAAATCAAATCAAATTTGAAAATTGATTTTTAAATGGAAACATATTGCAATAAATACAGTAAGGTATAAAAGTGAAATAAGATGATAATTCTTACATAGGCTGCTTTTTTTAGAATAGAATAGAAAATAATAAAATACAATTGAAGAAAATACAATACAATTATTATTATTATTATACAGGATCATATAGCGCCAACAGTTTGCTCCGCACTTTACATTATGGAGGGAGACAATACAGTAACAATACAGTTCAATACAGAATACAATAAAATACAATAAATACTGTAGAAAATAAAGGAATAGACTAGAATAGAAACAAATAGAAAAAATTGATAACAATAGAAAATAAAAGAATAAAATAGAATAGAAAAGAATAGAATAGAATAAATTATAATCAAATAAAATAGAAGGAATATAGCCATCGTCAGAGTTTCAATTTCAAATTTTGATTTTTTTTTAATCAATTTGAAAATGATATACGAAACTAATTCTGAAAACGAATCATTCTAACATAATGAATATGACGAAACAAAATTATTGACTTAATGAACAAATCTGAAACTAAACAAAACAATTTTTTCTGTCGTGCACATCTCTGCAGAGAATCAGTTTACTAGCAGGGGTGTTCTTTCCTTGCTACACGTTCCCCTGTGTGTAACTTGTCATGCAGCTATACCCTCGTATTCTGCAATAAGCCAGACTCAATGTAATCCTGAAGTTTTATTAACATAAACAGAGTGGGGTAAAACTATTGGGAAAACCAGATGAGAAATACATACAAGCAAGGTATGAAACATACAAAAACACAATGAAATAACTAGGCTGCAGATGGCAATAAGTCCATGCTCAACAGCGATGTGCCCTATAGGGGATGCAGCTTTACTCCACTAACATTTGCTGCCGGCATGATGAGTGGTTTCCTCTCCCTCAGTTTTTAAAATGGAGTCTGAGCTCCCAGGATGCACCTGTTTCCTTTTCTCAGAATTAGGGATGATGGGAGCTCTTATTAACTAGTTGCCGACCGCAGGTAGCCAAATGACGGCTGCACTGTGGCCGGCCATTTCTGGGAGGCCGTCATATGACGGCCTCCCAGAATGCGCTCTCTTATGCACAGCTGATCACGTGATGTGGTAAAAGGCCAATCACAGTGGCCTTTTACCACGTGATCAGCCATGTCCAATGACACGCTGATCACCAGGAATGCAATTGCCAGCTCTCGGTTGCACTTTCCTCATGCTCTCAGAGCGTGAGGAAAGTACTGCCGAGAACCGTCAGTTGGCAGAGCAGGGATCAGCACCGATCATCAAGGCACTGATGATCAGTGCCCTGATGATCGGTGCCCAGCAGTGCCACCCACCAGTTCCTCTCACAAATGGCCAGCAGTGCCAGCCACAAGTGCCCAGCAGTGCCACCCACCTGTGCCCAACAGTGCCACCCAGCTGTGCCCAGCAATGCCCACCAGTGTCACCCACCAGTGCCCATCAGTGCAGCCCAGCAGTGCCGCCAGTCAGTGCCCAGCAGTGCCGCCAGTCAGTGCCGACTATCACTGCCGACTATCCATCATCAGTGCCACCTATCAGTGCTGCCTATCAGTGCCACCTCATTAGTACTGCCTATCAGTGCCCATCAGTGCTGCCTATCAGTGCAGCCTCATCAGCGCACATCAGTGAAGGAGAAAATTTACCTGTTTGCAAAATTTTATAATAGAAACAAAGAAACTTTTTTTTAAAAAATTTTTTGCTTATAGCTCAAAAAACAAAACACCCAGTGGTGAGTAAATACCACCAAAAGAAAGCTCTATTTGTGAGGAAAAAGAATTCATATGAGTACAGTGTTGCATGACCGCGCAATTGTCATTCAAATTGCGACAGCTCTGAAAGCTGCAAATTGGCCTGGGCAGGAAGGGGGTATCAGTGCCCGGTAGGCGAGGGGTTAAAGCTAAACAGCCTCTAAGCTCTGTAAAACTGTAAATTTATTCTGGGATCCATCTAGTGGCCAAAATTAATATTGAAGGGAGAAAAAACAATGGATTTCTTTGCTGAAGGCAGAGCAAGGGGTTTCCACCATCGATACAAACATAAAAGACATTCAGCCTTGTGGCTCTCTCTAGCAACATCACTACTTAGGCCTGTTGCCTTGGTCCTCCAGACCATCCAACTCTACACCTCAGTGCTTCTTTACACTCTGTGCCTTGGCTCTCTTCCAGCTGCTTGCTGCTCTGTTACCATCTGCTCCTGCACATACACACTCTCTCTGCCCCATGCAGCCTCTCGGACTCCTGTGGAAGGATTGGGGTCCTCCTGACCCCTACACAGAGACCTCCTGTTTTTTGGGTGGAGCCCTGAACTGTTGTCAGGTCCTAGATTATAGGACTGTGAGCACCTACACACTCAGCCTGCTGGTTACAGGCAAAACCTGGACAATGACTTGGAGACTCCTTCCCTCCCAAAGCACTTCAGAATCTCTGAGCTCCAGTCCCTGATGTAGGCATTACAAAACCAGGAGAAAAATTAAAAAAACACCTTTTCTCCACTCAGAACTGACATTCTTGAGCCCCACACTCTGCCCATGTGAAAACCCAGTGACACTTCTCCTACATTTTCACAGTGGCAGTCCTACATTTGGGACTATATATACACTATATTGCCAAAAGTATTGGTCCATCCCTCCATATCATTGGATCCAGGTGTTCCAGTCCCCTCCATGGCCACAGGTGTATAAAATCATCCCTAGGCATGCAGACTGCTTCTACAAACATCGGTGAAAGAATGGGTCGTTCTCAGGAGCTCAGTGACTCCAAGCGTGGTCCCGTGATAGGTGGTCACCTGTGCAATAAGTCCATCCGTGACATTTCCGGCTACTAAATATTCCACGCTCAACTGTTAGTGGGATTATAACAAAGTGGAAGCAACTGGGAACGACAGCAACTCAGCCACCAAGTGGTAGGCCACGTCACATGACAGGGCGGGGTCAGCGCATGCTGAAGCGCACAGTGCGCAGAAGTCACCAACTGTCTGCAGAGTCAATAGCTAAAGACCTCCAAACTTGGTGTGGCCTTCAGATTAGCACAACAACAGTGCGTAGAGAGCTTCATGGAATGGGTTTCCATGGCCGAGCAGCTCCATCCAAGCCTTACATCACCAAGTGCAATGCAAAGCGTTGGATGCAGTGGTGTAAAGCACGCCGCCACTGGACTCTAGAGCCGTGGAGTCATGTTCTGTGGAGTGACCAATCACGCTTCTCTGTCTGTCAATTCAATGGACGTGTCTGGGTTTGGTGGCTGCCAGGAGAACGGTACTTGCCTGACTGCATTGTGCCAAGTGTAAAGTTTGGTGGAGGGGGGATTATGGTGTGGGGTTGTATTTAAGGGGTTGGTCTTGGCCCCCTAGTTCCAGTGAAGGGAACTCTTAAGGCATCAGCATACCAAGTCATTTTGGACAATTTCATGCTCCCAACTTTGTGGGAACAGTTTGGGGATGGCCCCTTCCTGTTCCAACATGACTGCACACCAGTGCACAAAGCAAGGTCCATAAAGACATGGTGGAGCCAGTTTGGGGTGGAGGAACTTGACTGGCCTGTACAGAGTCCTGACTTCAACCCCATAGAACACCTTTGGGATGAATTAGAGCGGAGACTGTGAGCCAGGCCTCCTCCCCCAACATCAGTGCCTGACCTCACAAATGTGCTTCTAGAAGAATGGTCCAACCTTCCCATAGACACCCTCCTAAACCTTGTGGACGGCCTTCCCAGAAGAGTTGAAGCTGTTATAGCTGCAAAGGGCGGGGACAACTCAATATTGAACCCTACGGACTAAGGCTGGCCATACACTATACCATTTTCTTTCCAATTTCTGCCCAATTTCCTTTAGATTTACCTTTTACTATGTAGTACAAGAGCCTGCCTAATTGGATACAATTGAAAGTATTGTTTAGGTTTGACCTCCTATTATATGGTTTTTGGTAAATCTAAACCAAAAATCTCAAGAAAATTGTATAATGTATGGCCAGCCTAAGACTGGGGGGCCATTACAGTTCATGTGTATGTAAATGCAGTGGTCTCAATACTTTTGGCAATGAAGTGTATATTTCTATATTTTTTTTTTTGTCCTTAAAAATGAACTATGCACTAAACGGTGGTAGTCCTTTATTATTTTTAACTGGAATCCCACGGAATTTCCCAGAGGTGTGCAAGGCGCATGACTTCTCTATTCACAGTTACTGGTTTAGCTAGTTTAACTTCTTCATGAAATCTTTATAGCTGTTGAAACCCAAAACATAGGCAATAACACTGTCACGACCAACCTGTCACGGGTCCCCCACACGCCACGCCCACAGCGACTAGCTAACCGAGGCGTGCACGTGTGGCCGTGACAGGGAGGTAAGGAGGGGATAAAGGGGACTTACACTTTGAATATATAAAACCGTATATAAGATCAGCCGTGACACACTTTCACAGCCCGCACTACCTCTGGCCACCACCAGATGGAGACTCCACTCCAATCCAGCTGGTCGACTACACACTGGCAGATACAAATCTTACATACAATCTGGTGCACTGATTAGAGTTGGGGACCAGCTTAGTAATTACACACACTTCTAGAGTCCCTCCAGCTATCCTAATAGCTTGAACCCCGGTGTTAATCACCCTTCCACTGTCCACCCCCCCCCCCCCCCCCCGCACCAGACACACCACAAAAGGTAGCCTGCCACCACCCAACAGTTTATCAGCAGAACGGTCTGCTGGGACACCCCACACACATAAAGCAATTGCATACAGATTGGCAATGAACTTGACCGAGCATTAAAAGGCACTAAAATACAATACAATTTAATCTAATCTAATCTCTCCAATCTAATCTCTCCGAAGATATGAGCACGTGCTTAAATACACAGAAGTCACTAATTATTTTAAGATTTAATTTCCTGAAGTGGGCAGTGCATAAAATATGTATGAAATATAAAAAGTTACAGAAATACAAGATATACAAGAAGTCACACAAATGACTAATTACTATAAAATAAAAAGGAATAAAAGACAGAATAAAACTTTACCCTGCGACTGGAGAAAGTCAGAAAAGTCAGCAATCCGTTAGTCGATCGACCAGCTCCATACGAATCACAAATGTCCCAATGCCCGTGTACTCAATTTATGAGGATATGGATGTAGGCGGGACATTAGTCCTCGGCCAATTGACCCTGGGGGGGGGTCCTGTACCTGCTCACAGGAGGTACTGTGTGCTGACCTGCCCAAGTTCAATCGGGCCAAGACTGGCTTGAATACCAAGTCGGGGATTGGATTTCCGACACCAGCGCATCAGTCCGATCGCAACAGTACAAAACACCAGACTGTCGTGATCCAGCACCACCTAAACATTCCCTCCATTTTCCTGGCATTCTCCCCAAGCCACAAATATGATTTTTATATGCAGATGTAGCGCACAGAATGCCCTACAAGAAGGGAGCATGTTCATCTCTCTGCAACTAATATTTTAGCTTTTATAAGAGATGAAACATACTTCTTTGATGTGTGGATATACCTTTTAGAGCTTTGAATGTCAGGCAGACACCCTGTCTGCTGTCATTTCCTCCAAACTGGTTCTCCCAGAAGGTGATAACCTTATTAACACAAAAGGTGTCACATCCAGGAAGCCAGGCTTTTCAGCCTAATTGATGCTAATTGATGACCACTAATTGATGCTAATTGATGACCACTGTTTGAGTATCTCATTTCCCCAATAACAAGGACTAAATACACATCCTTAATGACAATGGATTGAATGTCCCTCCGATTACATATTGCTACTGATCACATTCTATCCCCCCTTATGTATTATACATGAGATTATATCCCCCTTAAGTATTCTACATGGAGATCATATCCCCCCCCTTATGTATTATACATGGAGATCATATCCCCCCTTATGTATTCTACATGGAGATCAGATCCCCCCTTATGTATTACACATGGAGATCATATCCCCCTTATGTATTATACATGGTGATCATATCCCCCTTACATATTATACATGGAGATCATATCCCCCCTTATGTATTATACATGGAGATCATATCCCCCCCTTCATGTCCCCCTTATGTATTATACATGGAGATCATATCCCCCTTATGTATTTACATGGAGATCATACCCCCCCCTTATGTATTATACATGGTGATCATATCCCCCTTATGTATTATACATGGAGATCATATCCCCCTTATGTATTATACATGGAGATAATATCCCCCTTATGTATTATACATGGAGATCATATCCTCCCTTATGTATTATACATGGAGATCATATCCCCCCTTATGTATTATACATGGTGATCATATCCCCCTTATGTATTATACATGGAGATCATATCCCCCCTTATATATTATACATGGAGATCATATCCCCCCCTTATGTATTATACATGGTGATCATATCCCCCCTTATGTATTATACATGGTGATCATATCCCCCCTTATGTATTATACATGGTGATCATATCCCCCCTTATGTATTATACATGGAGATCATATCCCCCTTATGTATTATACATGGAGATCATATCCCCCTTATGTATTATACATGGAGATCATATCCCCCTTATGTATGATACATGGAGATCATATCCCCCTTATGTATTATACATGGAGATCATATCCCCCCTTATGTATATACACATGGAGATCATATTACCCCTTATGTATTATACATGGTGATCATATCCCCCTTATGTATTATACATGGAGATCATATCCCCCTTATATTATACATGGAGATCATATCCCCCCTTATGTATTATACATGGAGATCATATCCCCCCTTATGTATTATCATGGTGATCATATCCCCCCTTATGTATTATACATGGAGATCATATCCCCCCTTATGTAGTATACATGGAGATCATGTCCCCCTTATGTATTATACATGGAGATCATATCCCCCCTTATGTATTATACATGGAGATCATATCCCCCCCCCCCTTATGTATTATACATGGGATCATATCCCCCCTTATGTATTATACATGGTGATCATATCCCCCCTTATGTATTATACATGGAGATCATTATCCCCCCTTATGTATTATACATGGAGATCATATCCCCCCTTATGTATTATACATGGAGATCATATCCCCCCTTATGTAGTATACATGGAGATCATGTCCCCCTTATGTATTATACATGGAGATCATATCCCCCCTTATGTATTATACATGGAGATCATATCCCCCCCCTTATGTATTATACATGGTGATCATATCCCCCCTTATGTATTATACATGGAGATCATAATACATGGAGATCATATCCCCCTTATGTATTATACATGGAGATCATATCCCCCCCCTTATGTATTATACATGGTGATCATATCCCCACTTGATTATACTTGAGATCATATCCCCCCTTATGTATTATACATGGAGATCATATCCCCCCTTATGTATTATACATGGTGATCATATCCCCCTTATGTATTATACATGTGATCATATCCCCCCTTATGTATTTACATATCATATCCCCCCTTATGATACAAACATGGAGATCATATCCCCCCTTATACATGGTATCCCCCTTATGTATTATACATGGAGATCATGTATGATACATGGAGATCATATCCCCCTTATGTATTATACATGGAGATCAATCATATCCCCCCTTATGTATTATACATGGAGATCATATCCCCCCTTATGTATTATACATGGAGATCATATCCCCCCTTATGTATTATACATGGTGATCATATCCCCTCCTTATTGTATTATACATGGTGATCATATCCCCCCTTATGTATTATACATGGTGATCATATCCCCCCTTAAATGTATTATACATGGAGATCATATCCCCCCTTATGTATTTATGTATCCCCCCTTATGTATAAATATGGAGATCATATCCCCCTTACATATGTAGATCATATCCCCCCTTATGTATTATACATGGAGATCATATCCCCCCCCTTATGTATTATACATGGAGATCATATCCCCCCTTATGTATTATACATGGGTGATCATATCCCCCCTTATGTATTATACATGGTGATCCCCCCTTATGTATCATGGTGATCATATCCCCCCTTAATTACATGGAGATACCCCCCTTATGTATTATACATGGAGATCATATCCCCCTTATGTATTATACGTGGTGATCATAAGAACCCCCCCTTACTGTATTATACATGGAGATCATATCCCCCCTTATGAATTATAATGGAGATCATATCCCCCTTATGGTATTATACATGGAGATCATATCCCCCCTTATGTATTATACATGGAGATCATATCCCCCTTATTGTATTATACATGGAGATCATTCCCCCTTATGTATTATACATGGAGATCATATCCCCCTTATGTATTATCTGGAGATCATATCCCCCCCAATACATGGAGTCATATCCCCCCTTATGTATTATACATGGTGATCATATCCCCCTTATGTAATTAATGACGAGATCATATCCCCCTTATGTATTATACTGGAGATGAATATCCCCCCCTTATGTATTATACATTATATCCCCCCTTATGTATTATACATGTGGGTTTACTTGTATTATACATGGGATATCCCCCCTAAATTTATATTCGGATTTGTAAAAATTCATTACTATTGTGATTCAGAGATTTCTTATACATGATCTCTGAGTAACAAAAATTCATACTGCGGAACGAATCGCACATGTCTAACATGTCTTAACTATTTCTGGGTTTATTTGCAGGAGCTGCTTTGCATTATATTAGATTTAGCCCCCAGGGGCCCCATGAATTGTCAGTCCGCCCCTGGTCACTAGCATTAGCTGTCTGAGGAGGCATTTCTTTTTTTTTTATTGAATCTGTCATTCATGCAACTTGACATTTTTTCATTAGCTCCTCAGTACTAGATTTCCTATAGTCAGGAACGTCCTCTTCTTTTGTGGCAGGAGAAAGTCTGTAGTGAAGACTGCACTAAGTGTGACTGCTGCTTGATTTTTTTTTCTGTTATCAGGGAATTCATAGATAAAGTTCTGTGTTACCAAAAACAACTCTTCTTAATTTCTGTTTTTTTTCTTAATCTAGCTGTTATTATTCACTTTTTGTATTCCCTGAATTGATCATGGTTGACTAGATAGGGCTGCTAGGTCTCAAACGTTGTCTCCACATTGGTACATGTGATTTATCATTTCTGGATATCACATTCCTAAGCCCCTGTGTCAATGATCTAGAGCAGGGGTCCTTAAACTACGGCCTGCGGGGCAGATATGGCCCGCTAAAGCCTGCCGGAAAAAAAAATCGGAAAAAAGGAAAATAGACCGGCATATAGCTAGGCTCCATGAGGACCCAGAGAGCGGCAGCCTGGAAGCCCCTGATTTCACCTGCTATAGCCAGAGGAGCAACAGGAGAGGAGTAGAGAGCACCAGGCACCAGGTACAGTGCATTGCAGTGTGTGTGCGTTACAGAGTATTATTATTATACAGGATTTATATAGCGCCAACGGTTTGCTCAGCGCTGTACATTATAGTGGGAGACAATACATGAGACAGCACAGTAACAATACAATTCAATACACGAGGGGTTCGAGGGGCCCTGCTCCTTGGAGCTTACAATCTAGGAGGGAGGGGATAGTGGTACAGGAGGAAATAACTGTGGGGGATGGAGTGGTAGGAAGAGTGGAGGAGATCGGCAGTTAGCAGAGGGTGGGGCAGGCTTCCCTGAAGAGGTGGGTTTTCAGAGTGCACCTAAAGGTGAGGAGAGTAGGTGATAGTCTGATGGATTGGGGTAGGGAGTTCCAGAGGATGGGGGAAGCCCTGGAGAAGTCCTGGAGATGGGCATGGGAGGAGGAGACCAGGGAACTAGAGAGTAGGAGGTCCTGTGAGGAGCGGAGAGTACGTTTTGGATGGTAGATGGATATCAGGTCGGTGATGTAGTTTGGGGCAGTATTATGAACAGCTTTGTACGTCAGTGTTAGCATTTTGAATTTTATCCATTGGGCAATCGGAAGCCAGTGGAGGGATTGGCAGAGAGGGGTGGCGGATACAGAGTGGTTAGTAAGGTGGATGAGTCTGTCCGCAGAATTCAGGATAGACTGAAGTGGGGATAGCCTGCGGTGAGGTAAGCCGATGAGGAGGGAGTTACAGTAGTCAAGTCGTGATATAATAAGGGAGTGAATGAGTTGCTTAGTGGTTAATATAGACTGGAGGTTAACTAGAAAATGGCTGCAGAGTATAAGTAAAGCTCACTTCCCCTTCAATACTTACAATGGTCCAGCTTGTCACAATACAAGTGCATATCTCATACTTGATGGGTCACTGGGAAAGCTAAAAACCACAGTAGTAGTTGGTACTACTACATTGATAGCCACCGCATCTACTGGGTCCTGTTCGAGTGGCTTCCCTTCTGTTCGCTGATCACAGGTGGGGGAGGGGGGCACTCGTTTGGCACCACTGCAATTTATAGAATGTCTTGAATTTTTATCAATGGATACAAGTCCTTCTCTGACTGGGCAAGGTGGAGAGGAGGGGTTTTGACAATACAATCTCCATCTTGTCCAATCAGAGAATAGCTTGTATCCACTGAAAAAAATCAATTTTATAAATGGCAGTGTTACTGGGAAAGCATCCCCCCCTGTGGTTAGTGTGCAGAGAGGGAGCCGCTTGTACAGAACCCAAGCAGGACCTAGAAGATTGCATCTATATAGTATATATAATTGGTTATATTTATTCATCTTCTGTAATTCTCATTTACTAATCAATATCATTTTCTACTCTCTTTTGCAGCTCCTGATTTTCATCTCTCACTGGCTTTTAGGCTTCCTTATCATCCTAGGCCAATCCAGTTCCTACTTGATTTCTGATGATGCCGCCACATCTTAAACTTGTCTTTTGCCTCTTTATATCTTTATCTTTCCTCTCTCTAAGCCTGTTTTATTTCATCAAAATTCCATCCTTCACTTACTTTCAACAATCTGCTGCAAAAAATAGACCGGTCCATGTCCTAATTGTTTCATCCTGGAGATCAGGTTCTTCATTCCTTGGACAGATCTTCAACCATCACAATGACGTCTTTTACTTCTTTGAGCCTGGACGTTCTATATGGATGAAGCTACAGGATGAAAGTTCCGAGCTGCTACACTTTCCCTTACGAGATCTTCTACGATCGCTTTTCATGTGTGATGTGTCCCCTCTTCATCAGTATCTTGCTAATGAGGGTAAACATGTTTCTGATTTAGGTTTCTTTGAACAAAGTCGAGCATTCTGCACCCCACCAGCTTGTTCATCCTTTATGCCTTCTGAAGACTTTGACCGCGCAAAGTGCTACCACCATTGTAAAAATACTTTGCTGGACAAAATGGCAGAAATTTGCAAGACATACAGCCATGTGGTGATGAAATCAGTTCGAATTTTCGACCTTTCTGTTCTGCTTCCCCTTTTTCGAGACCCTGCCCTTGATCTTCGTATTCTGCACCTTGTGAGGGATCCCCGAGCTATTGCTTTATCAAGGCAATCCCTTGATCTCGAGATTGATGATAAGATTGTACTTAAGAGTGAAGGAAATGAAAATATTACGATAAGCATGGTGATGAAGAAGATTTGCAAATCTCAGGTTGACATCAACAACGTGGCTAATGAAGCTAAGGTGTTTCGAGGGCGATACATGGCAATTCGTCATGAAGACCTTTCTGAAGAACCTCTTGAGAACGTAAAAAAAATTTACAATTTTGCTGACCTTTATCTAACCAAAAACCTGGAGCAGTGGCTTTACAATGTCACCCATGAGGAGGTAGAAGATAAAGATGGGATCATGACTTTCTCAAGGAACTCTTCAAAGGTGGCCCAAAAATGGAGAACTTCTCTGAAATTTAATTTTGTAAAACAGATTCAAAAGAACTGCAAAGAAGCAATGCATCTGTTTGGTTACAGGCCAGTAAGGTCTGAAAAAGAACAGCAACATTTGCCTCTTGACTTGATAAATAAGGAATGGTCATTAGAATGAACTAAACAAACTGGCAAACCTCAGTTACACGGTATCTCAACTACATTGACCCTACAGATGCTGCCATAAAGAGTCCTCACTAGTGAATTTGCTTAAGAATTCAGGAGGACAAAATGTTTTGCAATGGCTATGTCATGAAAGAGAGAACTTTGATTAGTAGACACCACTTCTGGATTCTTTGTAGATTATAAGTACTGTATGCCAGAAGCTCAGTCAAACCCATAACTAAGTTTAAATATTGGGTAGGCTTACCATATGAAAACATGTACTGTATACATAATTTAGCTTCTTGAGTTCCTAGGACTTTTCTCCCCAAACCCCCTCGAGTCCCAGAGCAATTCTGTTTTTTTTTTTTTTCTGTGATGTCTTGGTTCCCTACTTTATACCTTTTAGTGATTGTAGTCTACTCTAACTTATAAAGCATATTTTCATAACAGGTAGGATTTTGGTTTGTTAGCAAATAATATGCACTTTTAATTTTTTGGCGCCCCTTTAAATGCATTTTTCCATGTAGGTCTAGATCTGGGCAGTGCAACCTAATCCACACCCCTCCAGGCAGCTGTGCAGCAGATCACTTTTAGCCTGCACCCCGGAACTCTAGGACCATGACTGGTTGACCTTTTAAAATGGCACTGGGGACTCAAGGGGTAATGAATGAGGCTGTAGAAAGAATATATGAGGAAGTAAAGGCCAATGTTGCAACCTTCAAACAAGCTACTTCATCTATCATCTTCAAGTTCATTCGGGTGTCTGATGACATAAAAACCTGAATTGCAACAGGACTGCTTAGTTTCCCCCAGCAATGGAATGTCAGATGATTTCCTTGCCTTTCTCAACAGCATAGCAGGGCCATTGGCTCTCCCTAGTACAGCAGAAAACATGGTTCACTATATATGTATATTAATCCCGCGAGCAACCAAGAAACCCCAACAAACCAACAACCTCAATTTGAAGTCACCAACACCCTCCACACACTCATTAATGTGTCACAAAATATAAAATAAATATATTAGTGCAGCACCTCCCTACTACTAATCCTAAACACCTCTTGAAAACCTTCGCACAAACATAAGTGTAGTCCTGAGGAAGCCACGTGACCTGTGGCGTAACGTGTAGGGGAGAGGCTAGCTGATGTCACGATGCAACGTGAGATTAGAGGAAGGATACGGAAGGAGAGTGTCACTGTTGTTATGCTGTTTACATCTGGTGTGATCTAACACAAAAAAAAGTGCTATTATCATTTTTATTATAAAGTGTTATAAAGGATAAAGCACTATTTCTGCCTATTCTGTTTTTTTTAATGGAGTGTTCGAAAGAGGAGAAGGGAATACTGTGACAGGAGTCATTTTGGGTGGGGGGCCCATGGAACACAGCTCACTTTGGAGAGATGGGGAGACCCCTGTCTCAGCTCCCCATATCCCTATTATGTGTAAGTCACCCTGTGCCTGTTAGGGGTACAGGGTGATCTGTCTTAACATTGTGTAGACATGTCTAGGAGATAGGTGGGGGTTGTGGATTGTTTGGTGTTATGTGGTTGCATCCCATTGTTCTATTGTTTGTCTTGCTTGGGAGCAAACTATTATGGGATGTATGTGTTTATGTGTATTAGCTTAGTGGGGGGTGTCTCCAGCAGCCCTCCCTCCTGATGGGACTGTCTGCTGGTGTGTCTCTTGTTACTAAATGTAGATTGCCCCACCCTGTGTCATTATGCAGGGAGGGGGGATAGTTCCATATATATCTTGTATCTGTGTTAAAATAAAAGAGTTCCATGTTCAGACAGACTGGTGTCATCTAGTCTTGTTTGGTCAGCCGTGGTGTCTGTGGTCGGACGGGGAAGAGGTATTATAACGGAAGTACCCAAGCGCAGACTGGGTCGGTTCCGTTACAGATACAAGCATCAAAGTTTGCAGCGGGAGAAGGAGAATCACCTGGGGAATCTTCATTTCATTAGTCCCATTAGGAGGACACAAGCTCTTTATGACCAAAATATTATAAAATGTGAGGTCAAAATGCTCCAGGCGAGAGCACAATCTGGGTGTTGGTGGAGGAACATTGGTTTATGTTCATGACGATGTGAAGTGATGAAAGAGTGGAGGAGCATCAAGAAAGATCCTGTTGTATATGGGACTTTTTCTTTTATATATGGGACTTTTTTTTGTATATGGGACTTTTTCTTTTGTACATGGGACTTTTTCTTTTGTATGTGGGGCTTTTCTTCTTAATATTTATCTTTTGGTATACACTTATGTTTGTGATAAGCTTTTCAAGAGGTGTTTAGGATTAGAAGTAGGGAGGCTCTGCGCTAATATATTTATTTTAGTAAACATGGTTCAAATGTATCATCTCAGACAAATATTAGTGACCTACCTCTTCTGTATATGCTGGAAGGAGGGAATTCATATTATAAAAAACGCAGGACAACCAGCTGATTATACAGCTGACATATATTGAGACACTAGTGTAGAAGTGGAAAACCCAGATACTCCTGCACTTGCGGATTGACTCAATGTCATTGGGACCTGAATAGAGAAATACAAACAGAGGGCGCACCGGCCTAGTGCCTTACCTTAAAGTATGTTTATTGAATGTTAAAAAAAAGGTATTCTACTCACAATAGTCAATAAATAAAAGGCACATCATGAAGGAACAGCTTTGTCCAATGCGTATCTGTCTGTGATGTGAATTCTGGACATCCAAAAGGTTGACGCGTTTCGAGGGCTAGCCTCTTTCTCAGAGCCAACCCTGTCATGGTGCACAGCCAGGCAGGGGACACACTCATTTCCCAGTTTAACAAAGCAGCTCCCTGTAGGATTGCTCCATATCCAGCCTGCCTATTGGTCAAAGAGCCCTGGTTACTGTGCTGGAAATGCAGTGAATCCTGCGCATTTCCCACACCGCATTGCAATTGCAAAGCGTCCAAGTGATCTGGCACAGTCAATGTTAAATTAACGACGCCTCGAAACAGATCGCAAAACACAGTGCGATTACCCGAATTTGTATCGCATGGGTGTTCATAACCATGCGATGCGAATCAGGTGCGGGGGAAAAAATGGTCCTGCACCTCTTTGGTGCGGTTACGATGTGATTTGAGCCATACAAAATGTATGCGGTTCCTGTGCGAATCAAATGCAATGTGCCACACTGCATTAGTGTGAACCAGGGCTAAATCTCGGCCATCAGCTTTCCTGTGTTAGGCCCCATGTACACGGGACACTTCTGAACGATGGAAACGGACTGCTCAAACGTAGGTTAAAAAACATCTGTGTAGCCGCATTTGTATAACGCGTTTATGTGCATTTGCGTTTAGAAGCGTTTTTTAAAGATACGCCAAGGAGAACCTCTCAAATGCCCAGAATGCACTAAAAAGTGGTAAATTATTAACTATTTCAGACTGTTTCAGAGAAATACAGAGAGTAGAAGCAGAGACAGAAGTATGTGTTGAGATAATTAGGTGTAAGTTGCTGATTAATATTTATTTTGTTTCCAAGGATGGGAAAGGTGTCTGGTGGAGGGACTCATTAAAGCCACCTGCCAGGGGGTCTTCATTTGAGGTGTGAATGGTCATTAACATATCTTTTGTTTACAAGGGTGGGAGAGATCTGAGGTGTGAATTGGTGATTGCAATGTGTGACGAGCCTGGTAGGAACATCCTGTGTTCAGTGTTTTGTCCATCTGAGTACCTTGAAAACGGTTTGCGTGCATTTTTCATGATGAAAAAAGGGCTCTGGACAGCATTAGTTAAAAAAAAAATTCAAACGCAAACGCTTATAAACGCGACAGTGATGATGTCACTCCCACCTTTAAAATGTTATATCTCAGTCTTCCAAGTCATTTGATCAACACAACCTGGATGTACAGGGGCATCTCAATAAATCAGAATATCATCAAAAAGTTAATTTATTTCAATAATTCAAGTTCAAAAAGTGAAACTCATATATTATATAGATTTATTACACACAGAATGAGATATTTCAAGCATTTAGTTCCTTTAGTTTTGATGATTATGGCTTACAGGTAGTGAAAACCCAAAATTCAGTATCTCAGAAAATTACCGTATTTTTCACTCCATAAAACGCACTTTTGTCCCCCAAATTTTGTTAAAAAAAGGACTTTTAGTACAGAAATATGGGCTTACTGAAAGGTATGTCCATGTACAGTATAGTATGCACTCAATACTTGGTCGGAGCGCCTCTGTATGAATTACAGCATCAATGTGGTATGGAGGTGATCAGCCTATGGCACTGCTGAAGTGCTATAGACGTCCAGGTTGCTTTGATAGTGGCCTTCAGCTCGTCTCCATTGTTGGGTCTGGTGTCTCTCATCTTCCTCTTGACAATACCCCACAGATTCTCAATGGGGTTTAGGTCAAGCGAGTTTGCTGGCCAATCAAGCACAGTGATCCCATGGTCATTAAACCAGGTACTGGTACTTTTGGAAATGTGGGCAGGTGCCAAGTCCTGCTGGAAAATGAAATCAGCATCTCCATAAGGCTGGTCAGCAAAGGGAAGCAGGAAGTGCTCTAGAACTTCCTGGTAGAGGGCTGAGCTGACTTTGGACTTGGTGGACCAACACCAGCTGACGACATGGCTCCCCAAATCATCACTGACTGTGGACACTTCACATGGGACCTCATGCAACTTGGATCTTGTGCCTCTTCACTCTTTCCTCCGGACTCTGGGACCTTGATTTCCAAATTAACCTCCCTGGCGGTATTCCCGAGTGTGGCTCGGGGTAAAGTTTCAGTACCAAAAGCAGTAACCCCGAGCTACACTCGGGCTTACCATGCGGCGTTGCTCCGCGATCCCCTCGATCACTTACCTTGTCCTGCACTCCCGCGATGTCCCTCCTGCAGTGTCCCTGGCAATGTAATCCGACGGATGCTGGCATCTGTCATCTGGGTTCCGTCCCCTGCGAGCGTCGGGACGTACGGGGGACGGAACGGCGGGAAATTTTAAAATGACAAAAAGTGACATTCACTAAATTCACTAAAATCACATAGT